CAAGATTCTAATCAATCCCCCCCCGCCCTCTAGGGTCTAACAGTATGCAATAACAAATTAAGAATGTATTTACCATCATACACTTCAGAGCCGTTAGCGATTGTGGCCTGGACAAGTGCATCTTGCCGGACACCTATATCTATTTGCTGAAACCCCTCGCATCCGTCTAATACGTGTGTGAAATAGCTTGTGTAGGGATGTAAACCCGGAAGGGATGCAAGAACATTTGGGTAACTCCTTTACGACCTCGGAATCGTGCAACAAGGCTAGCAGGTAACATGGCATCAATATGTGTGTCATCTATCATACCAATGCAATCCTATAACGTAAATAAAATACTAAGCTAACATAAAATTGTATTTATTAACTTGAAATATTATTAATTCTATAATTGAAATGATTTACCTTGAAATATGGGTAGTAATAAGGATTGTTAAGAATCTCTTGGGGCACTTTGTTAGGTGCTTGTCTCATATATCTTCCACGTAAGAAGGAAATAGCTTCAAGAACTTTGTTGATGTATCGACTAACAGTCTCGCCAGATCTAATAAATTGCGACCGCAAAATACGATTTTTTGTTTTATGACCCAATATATTTAATGTCATAGCAAGTTGCTCCTCTACTGTAACATGCCGTGAGTCCTTTAGTAGATCCCTTTTTCTCATGATCTTTGCAAGCTTCATAAATGTCCCACTAAGCATTCTAACGTAGTTTAGACAACTATCACTAAACCCATAGTATATACGGTTCAAATATTTAATTCTTTGATCATTTTGCATTCTTTTTTCCAATTTTGGACCATTACGTATGGATCTACGTCTACATTCCATTCTCCTCAAAAAGGTAAATACTATAAGCATAACAAAAAATGCAGCCCCTGAACACATTTTCATAACAATTTCTTCATCAACTCCATCACCATCCATCTACAATACCAAATTTATGTTACTAATTTTGAAAAAAAGTAAAGAAGTTTTAGAGTTGAAATATTTGAAACTTAGCAATCTGCTTTGGAAAATCAACATTGAAGCTAATAAACTCATTACAACTGTAACCTACTAAATTCATAAATAGTATATTTTTGGCAAATAAACTCATGAGCAGGAACAAATCAAAGATTATTAACTCCGACACAATAAGCTACTAAATGGCATATACCGTTGTAATTTTCATAACCTTTTGGCAACACAATATGTCTTATTTTGCAAATAAACTCTTGAGTAAGAAACGATTACATGAATATCAATTCAAAATAACCTTCAGATTCAACATGCATAACCTAATGAAAGATACACAACGTATTCATGCATAACATGACCTCTTTACACTAAAAAATCAAGCAAAAAAAAACTATTTATAGCACAAAGAATTGCAAAAAAAACTACCTTCAATTTTTAGAGGTAAAGCAAGGCTGAGTGAAGATTGATCACCCAAACAGCTTGGATCTAGATGAGAAGGAGTAGATTGATCACCCAAACAAGCTCAAGAGAGATTATCTCTCTTGAAAGCCGCCTCCTTTCTATTCACTGGCCGTCGATTGCTACAGAAGAACGGGAATCGCCATCAAATTTCACTCAGCCGCCTCCTTTCTATTCACTGGCCGTCGATTGCTACAGAAGAACGGGAATCGCCATCAAATTTCACTCAAGTTTCGACATCGACAGTGAAATTGAAGCAATCCCCCTCTATTTATCATCCGAGGACATAGATCAAAGGAGGCGGGAGGTGAAAAGAGGATCGCGGGAGTTTTGGGGAGAGGAAGTTGAGCGGTGAAAATAAACGCTCATCGTTTCCTCCCAATTTTAGCCGCTGGAAACAGCTCATCGCATTTAATGAACGCCCATGGTTTCCAGCCCATTTTAGGCCACCGAGCTTGGAAATGGACAACTCTCCAAAGCTGATGTGGCTGGGGTTTCCAAGCCCCCATCTCCCAAAAAAAATAACGAAACAAACACATACAAAAGAAACCCTTCAACTCCAAAACTGACGTGGCCATGCTTTATTTCTCAAAAACTCGATTTCTCAGCCAGTTTTTTGCGAAACAAACAGGCCCTAATTGAACTTTGTTTATTTAACTAAAACTCCCCATTTTTTACGGAGTCTCGCATAAACACCCTTGATTTTAAGCTTTTCTCAGCTGACGCTTGTTAACATGTGACAAATAACTAAAATGTACTCAAGACAAAAACATTCAATTTTGGAGGGGTCCGGTGGGAAATTTTGTAAGTTTAGGAGGGTCTATGAAACACCTGAAAGTTCAGAAGTTTAATGAATTAAAATAATCTTATTAGACGATAAAGGCTTCGTTCCATCCATCCATCCATCTGTTGGCTATGTCTGTGGTGCTGGTCGGTGTGTATCATTCACACTTAGCGTTAGTCAACAACCTCTATCGTTGTGATGGCCATGAGACGCCCATAGATCATATAAATTGCAAGTCATTTGCGATTAGCTGTTTAAAAAGAAGGGGGGAAAACAAAGCTCCTACGGTTCCATGAGACTTAAGGGGGTATCGTCAAATTTCCAAAAAAAAAAAAAAAAAAAAAAAGTTTATATTCAGTGTCCCAAAGAAAAGACAATGTTATAGGAATGTTTAATTTAACTAGATATTTTAATCTTCTTAGTTTTTACGTGCTGATTTTATATGGATAAGAAACCCATTTTTTCATTGCTCTTTGTAATGTCATTTCTTCCGTAGTGCAATCAACTTTAAAATTAGCTAGTTGTTTATAGACATGTATATAGGCTAAATAACCATGTTGATATTTTTTTTTTTTACATCCCTCTTATCAGTTTAGTATTTTATATATTCTAGCTTTAACAATTAATGTTTTGATATTTTCATTAAAGGCAAATGTACAATTCGACCCAAAACTTTGCTTCAGGCAAAACATAAAAACGCAAAGTCTTAGGTGATGTTGTTATGTCTTATTCACGAAGAAAGTGCCAGAAAACTATTTGGAACATTCGTATTAGGGGTGGGCACTGAGCTAGGTCGGTTTGTTTGGGCTCACCCCGGCTCGAACCAATGCGGGACTGATCAAATTCGACCAGCTGTAGCAGGGAGGCCGTGGATTCAAGAATGGATTGGCCCCCAGCAACGAGCAAGCATCTTGCTCGACCCAAAAAGTCCACAGACTAAGCTGAGATTATATGTAAGCGGGTTGGCTCACTATGGGCCCGTCCAAATTAAGTTATCTTTTACCGTACGAACACTCTTATTGTAATTTTTTGTTTTTGTAATTTTTTCAGTAGTGGAGCAATTATTTATTGCTCGTGGACGTAGTACTTGCTTTGAACCACGTTAAATCTCTGTATTTATGATATTTTTGTTACTTTGTGGTTTACATGTAAATTTTAAGTTAAATAATATTTATAAAACTATTATAAAATAAAAAACTGAAAAAAAATAGTGAGATGGGTAGGCTGACCCATGCTCTGGCCCGTCATGCTTGTTTCTAAGCTTACGAGCGAGGTGGGTCGAGTGGCCCGAAAACAAACGGCCAAAGACGACACACTAATCCCGCTACGTACTGCTGGGTTTGGTAGGAGGAAAAGGGGGAGACAAATTAGATTTGCCTTTGTACGAAGATTTCAAGAGGGGGGTGGAGGGGATACCATGAAATGAACTAAAAAGTTAGAGAGAAAAATTCCTTCAAATTGTGAGGATTCAAGAGGAATGAGAAAACGAACTACAAAAGTATGCATTTCTCTTCCCCTTGCCTCTAAGAGCAAGTCCAACAAGCTCCCACCCCACCTCCTAAGGCTGAGGTGGCGGTGGGAGCTTGCTGGACTTGCTTATTAAAATAGAAGAGGGGTTTTTTTGATATTGTTGGAGCTCCTAACTAGGAGCTTGTTGGAGCTCCATAAAATAAGGAGATGCTCCCAAGACTTATTTTTATAATTTTTTATACTAAAATGCTTAAGAGCTCTTGAGAGCTTGCTGACTAGGACTCCCAACTGGGAGCTTGCTGGACTTGCTCTAAGCAAACATAATGAAAAGTATGCTTTTCTCTTCCCCTTACTCTAAGCAAACATAATGGCTTAAAGAGATATTCTTCCCTCTACTTATTACCCCCTACCCTCATCTCACCTTACTTTCTGTAACCCCCTACCAAACTAAGTCTTTGCGCACCACTTAAGAAAAGGGATAATATAGTTAATGTAGAGAAAATATTTAAAAAAATTCATTGTGAGAAACCAAAAATAGTATACTAATAGTTCAAACTAAAAATAGTATACTAATAGTTCAAGTTAACATATGTGCTGGCTCATGATAAAACTAAATGGAAGAATATAATAGAACTAAATGGAAAAATATGATGTATATAGTCATTCCCAAAAAATTAGAATAAACACTTGGTCTAAAACACTTGGTCAGTGTTGCATCTGTTTCCTACGAATCACAAGTCTGCCAAATTCTGCAGAAGATTGAACCGTGCAAGTGACGAGTTCAAAGAAGCATCAACCACGCAAAAGCTACTAAAAATCAAGCCAAATAATAAGCCAGAAATAATAATTCAGGACAACTGACGCAGAAACTGAAAATTCCAGATTCTATATGATGTCCAACGTCAAGCCATCAAGAAACCAACGCAAAACCTTCAAAAGATCAAAAGTACATATCCAAAAATTAAAAGATGGCACAAATCCACTATAACATGACAATTGAATATTGCGAAACAAGGCTGTCATAAAATGTCAAACAAATTATAAACTTTAGAAAGTTTCATCTCATGTAACATAACAAGAAACAAACATGTAGCAGATAATACGAACAAATTGGTCACATATCCATTAAAAAAGTCGTGCGCATCCTTGAGAAAATCAAAAGAACACAACCGGTCACATAGTTGATGATGCTGATCCAAATTCTCGTCGCAAGAATCGTGAATATTGTGGCACAAACAAGGTACCCATGAGATTTTAAACAAACTAAAAACTACATAAGTTTTATCACATGTACCTAAAAATAAACCAACGCAAAGCAGTTAATAATAACCAAATTGGCCACAAATTATCACGCACTGGGTTGTGCAGCTCCAACGGCAAAATCCTTGTGAAGATCAAAAGTACAGATCTAAAAATATTGTCGATACTAAAGACAAACTCAACAGGAACCTTAATAATGTAAGGCTAACAAGGCTGTCATAAAATGTCAAACAAAACAAAACTACAGAAGTTTTACCCCATGCACCTAAAAGACCAAACATAAAGTAGATGATATTAACCGAAATTACCACAAAATTATCAAGCACTAGCTTTCATAGCTTCAGCAGCAGCACGCTTCCTCGCCTCCTCAATAATACTGAGCTTAATACCCTTGCCCTTCGGCAGAGTCACCCAAGGCTTAGTCCCCTTGCCAATGGTGAACACATTGCCAAGCCTAGTGGCAAACTCATGGCCAGTTGCATCTTGCACATGGATGGTCTCAAAAGTCCCCTTATGCTTCTCCCTGTTCTTGATGATTCCAACTCGGCCAGTGTTCCTACCACCAGTCACCATGATTACATTGCCGACATCAAACTTGATGAAGTCTACAATTTTGTTGGTTTCAAGGTCAAGTTTTATGGTGTCGTTGGCTCTGATGAGGGGGTCAGGGTAGCGGATGGTTCGTCCATCATATGTGTTGAGGTATGGGATGCCTTTTTGGCCGAATTGAACAGAGCGGACCTTGCATAGCTTAAACTGTAGATAAGAAAAATAGTGAGAACCAAACCATGACATGCTACATTTCACCATCAACTAAATAGCACTAAGGCAAAAAAGTTCAAGTGCCACCTAAAATGTTCGCATGTTAGTTAGATAATGTCATCTGTAGGTCATTTCTGGAATGTTACCATTAAAAGCATGATAGTGAAGTAATATGAACTGTTCGAAAACTGAAATAATGTTTCACAAAACAAGTTTAAGGATAAATGTAGATGTTGAGGGTCAAGAGGATTTTATTAATGAAGATACCCTATAGGATGTGCAAATATACAGTTGCCCTGTAAAAATTTGCCCAGTTACTATTTTCCAAGAAACTGGCTATGAAAATCAAAAGCCAATGATCGAAAGAAGAAAATTTTACACAACTGCACAACGTAGCCAACCAGGCTTCCTCAAACGAAATAGCACTAAGCTACAGGACCTGTTAAATCAAAGATGGGCTAGTTTCGCTTAATTTAGTTTACAATGTGTGGAAGATTTCATAAAACAGGATTTTAAAAACACTGCTTATATTTTATTAGAAAGAGAGCAAAAGGTAGAATAGCAGAAAGAAAGGAAGGAGGGAGTTCA